GGGCATGTATTCTGTAATCTGTAATAGAATACATTTTAAAAGTAACCTTCCCAACACTGTCAGTCGTCCACCCATCCACACACACATTCACACACTGGTGATGGCAGCTACATTGTAGCCACAGCTGCCCTGGCGCCCACTGACAGAGGTGAAAAGTCATACAAAATCTATAAAATGAATTTCCAGTCAAATTTGACTTACAGTTCAGTGCAAAATTCTCGAGCTACCCCATATTTCTTAATACTTTGGTAGAAAAGTGGGAAAAAGCTGCAGAAATGTATTGCTTATTGCTTGCGTATACTAAAATACAGTATATAAGGCTTCTTGAAGGACATTCAAAGCACTTCTTTGGATGTTGGCTGCCTTTAGTTCTGTTCTCTGTCAAGATGATCCCAGACTTTGGGTTCATTACTCCGTAAGTTCTGTGACCACGGACATGGAAGTAGCACTGGTCCTCTAAAAGGTCAGTGATTTGATTCTCCAGTCTGCATATCAAAGGATGGGAAATCATTTTAATATATCAAACATACATAAATTATAACCCTGTGTTGCTTCCATCTGAGTATGTGTGCGAATGTTAGACAAGGTGCTTAGATAAAGGTAAAAGCCTTTGTATGAATGTGTGTGAATGGGTGACTGAGGCTTGTAGTAAAAAATGCTTCGAATGCTCAGTTCACAGGTCCATTTACCATTTCTGATGGGGCTTCAGTGAAGAGTATGAAATGAACGAGCAGATGCATCGTTCAGGTCCTGTATCAGGTCTTGGTTGGATTTCTTTTTTCCATTTCAAAGACATGACTTTCATTTCTTCTGCAAATAGTTTTTAGGCCCACTCCTTCTTTTCTTCTCCATTTGTACAGTTTTCATGGCTGTTTTTTTAAGGAAACACTGCACACAATGCTGAGGTATGCCAAGCTGTAGCTAAAAGGTCTTTGGGAATGACTTTGTTGATACAAAAATACAATTTTATGTCAGTCAAACTATCTTTGGCATTTTTTTGTAGATTCAACGAAAGAAATGGAAACAAATGATTTGAAATGCTTAAAGATACAGTTTAAAGTCGGCTCTTTGCTAAGTTTTGTGTTATGTGTAGACACAACACTGATTCTCGAGTTAGTGCTTTTGTATGCTTCAGTAGGATCACGCAGGGATTCTTCTGGTTTCCATGGTGCATAGCGCCATCTGGTGGCAGTAAATAATTTACAGTTCTTCCGTTATGGTTGTCCTACACGATCCCTGAAAGACCCATAATTTAACTCAGTTTAAAATAAGAAATTATCGATTGACTATTGTAAATAAAAAAATAAGATGTCTCGTATTGTTTACTGAGCACTTTAGCAAATCGGTTTAATGAAAAAACAAAAAACAGCGGCGTCAGACTCGTCGGTTTCCCGTCCAGAGGTCGTCCAGCTGCCCGCCTGATCAGAAGTGGCTTCGGTTGCGGTTGGCTGGCTGTCAGTCTGTGGGAGCGGTGACAGCTCAACGGGTCGTTTTATCTTTAGCTTTGTGCCCAATACAGTCGCCACAATGTTCGAGGAAGCCAGCGAGGTGTTCGATAACATGTTTAAATCTTCGTTTCCCTTTACCTTCATCGTCTTTATCCCGGCGGTGCTGATCCTGGTGTCTCCGCTCCCGGCCGAGGCGTCGCACGAGTTCACGGTGTACCGCATGCAGCAGTACGACCTACAGGGACAGCCGTACGGTAAGGTGGCTGCTTCTTTAGCCTGCTTGTCACAAAAAAGCAGACATGCCTGCGTGAAGTTGGTGAGACTGGGCTCAGTGTCCGACACCAGTTAGCCTTGCTGTCATACACAGTAAGCGCCCAATTTCCTGAAGCGGAGTTTCAATGACAACAGGCTGCTAATGTAGCTTAGCATAAGCTAGCTCATTTCCTATGGCCCTAGCAGGAGCCAGGCTCCTTTAAATAATGCAACCAGAGCTTAGAGCTGAAGACGTATCCTCATTTAGTACGTTTAATGATTTTAAGTTAAATGTGAGAGGCGCAAAACCCTGGCAGGCCGTTCCTCCTCAAATTGATAACTAGCTGGATGAGTGAATGACCTGTAGGGCTGTATAACATGTACACTGAAGAGTGACTGAGGAGATGAAGGGTGTCTTAAAGGGATTCCTCTGTCTAGTATCTGTGGCAGAAATAAGTAAATAGCAGCTGTCAGCCTTGACAAATAGTTCACCACTCCAAGGTCTGTGCCAAGCAGCTTTTTTCACCCTCAGCATCCCTGTGTTGAAAGATTAGTTTCAGGTCTCACCCAGTGCTGCTCCAAACCTTGTGTCTTGTGTCCTCAGGTACCAGGAACGCCATCCTGAACACGGAGGCCCGTACTGTGGAGGCAGAGGTGCTAAGTCGTCGCTGTGTAATCATGCGGCTGGCGGACTTCTCCTATGACAAGTACCAGAAAGCCCTGCGCCAGTCAGCGGGGGCTGTGGTCATCATCCTGCCAAGGAACATGTCTGCTATGCCGCAAGACATAGTGCAGGTAGCATGCCAGTCTGTAACACCACAATCCACTATCGCATGCTTCTTCATTTTCAGTTCAGTCCTGTGTTGGTTTCCACGGTGGCTTTAGTATATAGTGAAGTCAGAGTTTATTTCTATAGCACATTTTAAACAAGTTGACCCAATTGCTCCACAGGTTATGCAAAATATACACTCTGCATAACGGTCACTAAATCAATAATATATCTAAAAATAAAACAAAGTAAAAAAATAAAAACTCTTTCTATAATAAAAGCTCAGGTACCCTGCTCAACTAGAACTGAAAAATGAGTAAATCAGGGCCTTGGTGAGGTTCAGCGCACGTTCCTTTGACTGTTTCCAGGTTGGTGTGTTTTCATATTAAAGGTACTGTGTTAGGTTTGAATCCAGTCAAGGCCACACGATCAGACTTCAAAGGCTGAAGTTTTGGGATTGCGTTTGCACCGTAGCACCTTTTGACCCATCATTCTTTTTAATTTAGTAAAGCTGTGGTTTTGCTGGTCAGAGTGCTTTTGTTTCAATCAGGGCAGGTCGCAGTCACATTTATGACAAGCCCGTCTGATTTGTATATTATTGGCTTATGTTAGTAACTCCGGTGTTTGTTTTTACATAATCGTCGGCCATTTTTAAAATAAAAATTCACTAAAGCAAAGAGAAATATATAAGCCTACCCTGTTCTAATAAAAGCTCTGCTACCATTGAGTCATCACTGATTTTGTTAGTGTGCGCTATAATTTATTGCATTACAACAGCAGGTGAGCTACTTTGTGCTCACAGCTTTAGTTTATATTTATAATTTGCAGAAGATATGACCAAGTAAGACATCAGGTCAGAACATGTTTCAGAACATGTGGCTTACACGTTTACATCGCAGGAAGGCACAAACAGACACACCCAGTGTTGACATTTTTTTATGCATAGTATATTTTTCCCCTTTCTGCTGCTAATAGTCTGCACAGAGATAAAACTAAAGCATAATTTTACAGCAGTAAGTGCCATGCTCAAGGGCACCTCAGTTGTGATAGGAACAGGAAGGCATCACCTCTTTGAGCTGTTTTTGACGGGTTTCTTTGCACCATATAAGCCTGAGTGTGCGCTGTGTTCCTGTGTTCGTGCTCTACATGTTGTGACTAATTAAACCTCCCACTTCACGCGTGGGAATCTTCTGGAAAAGGAGGGACGTATAGTAGTAGTAGGCATTTGATGTGTTATGTTAAACTAATTAACATGTCTGGTGAATTGTTATCTGCACAGATTTTTGTTACACAGCTCTGTAAATGTGTCGAGCAGTTTGCTGCTTCCGCCCATCATTCGTTCTTCTCGGCGCTGGCAGAGATGAAGCGGTTGAGTCAGATTTCCTTCCCTTTTATTAACTCTGCTGTCCTCGACCGTGTCTCCCTGTAGCAGTTCATGGAGTTGGAGCCTGAGATGTTGGCTACTGAGACCATCGTCCCCGTCTACTTCGCCATGGAGGATGACGAGCTGCTGTCTATCTACACACAGACGCTGACCTCCTCATCCTCACAGGGCTCCTTATCAGCAGCCGAAGGTAGAGAACCTGCTGATGATCTGCAATGTGTATGATTTTAAACGTCACGTTTTAGTTTTTTATAATGTTTTTTGTGCTTTCTCTAGTCCTGCTGCATACGGCCACAGCCAACGGCTTTCAGATGGTGACCAGTGGAGCTCAGAGCAAAGCCGTCAGTGACTGGGCCATCACCAGTTTAGAGGTGAGCCACATTACAAACTGATTGGATGTTCATTTATCTTTTCTGATTTCATCCTTGTGTTGTTCCTTGCCAGACTTTGGCGGTGGATAATGCTCCTGCTTTACAGCCACATGTTAACCATACTTACCTCTGTAACAACTGATCCATGAGATAATTGCCAGAGTGTTTACTGCGCCTTATGACAAATAAAAGAAGAGTTATATGCATTTTAATTTGCTTTATTTTTTAGTTTGTTGCTCACAGTTAGTTTATATAAAAATATATATTTGGGGAGGTTGGGGTTTAAAAAAGTCACGTTGATGTAGAAGTCTAAAAAGCTCATGTAGCAGATATGACACCATTACTAGAGGTGGGAACATCCCATAATACACTATTTTTTATATTTTGTCGTGCTGAATATTGCAATAACATATATGTGAGTTATCAGCTTCTTTCAACTGCAAATGATGTGCTTAAAGGTCAACTTTATCAATAACTTTTATCTTACTGGATAAAACAAATAACTCAAAAATGATTTATGCAAAATGAGATCATCAAGCACACAAACGCTGTCATTAAATCCGACCATAACTGAAATCAGTTTGCGATCGAATACGGTCATTCGATTTGTTTCTGATCGTCACAAAGACAGAAATGCAGAAAGTTTCCAGATTCATATTTAACTGTTACATTTGCACCCAGCAACGTTCCTTTGTGGTGCATGAGGAGGGTCCTCTCGTTCTTGTGTTTTAATTCATTTAGTAAAATATTTAATGTCCCCTGTGTAAATACAATATTGCAATACAATGCTGTATCGTGTTTTTTTCCCCCCACCTCTAATATTTAGATTGCAGGGACCTCCAGTGTAAGATTACAGTTTCCATGTCTGCTACGTGTGTGTTCAATTCAATTCAATTCAATTCAATTCAATT